AGGTTGATTCCCCCAAAGCCTGAATAATAATTCAGGCTGTCGTAGGGGATGAGGGATTGCGCCTCAAGACGAGCGAGAGCTTTTCGTCGCCGCTGTTTGGATCTTTTTGAACGAGGAGCGTTCATGTCGACGGCGGAGGCGTAGTCTGCGTCGACACGAATGGTTGATTCCTTTTGCACAGGGGTCTGCGAGGATCGATCATCGACCCACCCAGCAGCTCCTAGACCCGCATTCTCGAATCTCGGCTCGGACTCCACTGGTTTGGGGGGGAAAAGAACCCCCTGCCTCGGCTTGGGTAGATCCCTCAGGCTTGGTTGCCTCGGCCTCTTGAGGCTGGGCCACCCGCACGACTCTGCAGCCATCGCGAGATGTATTGCCGCCAGAAGAGGACGATTGTAAGTACCCCTCGAATTTGATCACAAGGGACTCAACAGTAGTCCCTGCAGCAACTTCGTCAAACTGCGCCACCACCAATTCATCTGAATGAACGGATTCTCCCACTGTGGTCGCCATCTTCTGTATGTGTAAATTTTGATTCTTCCGAAGAAAGGAGTTTCGTTTGTATTTATAAGAAAGCTTATTACAAACTAACAAATCAAATGTTTACAACAGAAGCGGGGGAAAGCCCTCCTTGTTTAACGTGGGTTCCTCGGTGGCGATAGGACGCCTCGCTCGGTGCTCGTGCCGAGTCTGCTTCCCTTGGACGATCCGATCGAAGTTGATGCCGGAGCCGGAGCTTCGGTTCTCAAATGAGGGAGCCTTTGGCAAAGGTCCAGGTTCAACCTTTGGGAGATTAGCCAGCAGAATATGCAACGGCCAATCCCCCTCTTCATGCTGCTGAAGATCTTCGCCTGGACAACTGAGGTGAGCTGAATTTATGAGGGTGCAGGCTGTTTCGACGCCTGTCCGCTCATTCGTACTGTGGATGGCCATCTGACGGGCCTGGAGTATTGTGCCCCTCCTACCCTTACATCACGGAAAATAAGGAAGGTTTGTCCTCGCGAGCTTGGGACTGCAGGCAGACTTGGGTCTGCAGGTAGACTTAGGTCTGCGGGCAAGCTTGATCGTGCAGGCGAACTTCGAGCTGTAGGCGAGCTTCAACTGCAGGCGAGCTGGGACCGCATGCGAGCAGGCAGACTTGGGTCTGCAGGCGAGCTTGCAGGCGAGCTGAGTCTGCAGGCGAGCTTGGGACTGCAGGCATACTTGGGTCTGCAGGCGGAGCTGGGGATTGCAGGCAGACTTGGGGTCTGCAGGCGGATTTGGGACTGCAGGCAGACTTGGGTCTGCAGGCGGATTTGCGACTGCAGGCAGAATTGGGTCTGCAGGCGGATTTGCAACTGCAGGCGAAGCTGGGGACTGCAAACGAACCTGGGTCTGCAGGCGATCTTCAAGCCGTTAGGTGAGCTCTATAGCATGGATCGAAGAATAGGCCGTAACTTTCAAACCGTAAGTTGGAATTGGACGAATTATATATGAAAATCACCTATCTCGACGAGATGGAGCCATCCGAACCAAGCCAAAGGCTTATGTTCGCTTCCTCCGTTTTGCTAAATTCCTTACGGTTTGGGAGGTATCTGCGTTTTCCCCTTTTTTGCTATTTCGGGTGAGGTTTTAGCAGTTTTGTTCTGAACTTCTCTAATAAGGATTTAAAGGCAATTTTTATTGTCTACAGATATCAGCACCAAACTCTCTTAGAAGCTTCTTTTTAAGATCAATTGCATAGTACGTTTCACGATAGTTGCAACCCCAAGACGCCCATGGATCTCCCTTCTCTCCTATGCCTCCTTCGAGACAACTATGCACATGACCAATTTTCTTCGCGTAATGTCATTTGTTGTATGTACAATGGTTACAATGAACCATCCATTCACAATCAATACCATTGCATTTTACTATCAACCATCTAGGTTCATTTTTCAAATAATCAAACTTAAAATCGAGCGCAATTGAGTAATTTTTAAGACTTTGCAATAGCTATTCAATGTTATTAAATTCTTGACCAATACTTCTAATGGCATGATACCACGAAATAGGAATTTGAATACTAGATTTCTCAATTTCATGTAATGCATTTTTGTGAATTGGATGGATTATGCTATGAATGAGCATGTTGTTCCGAAAGAGATATGGTAGAATTTCTACATGGGATTTTATGTCATATTAGAACATTAACCTGTTACCTTATTAGACTAGCTATTAGAAACATTACTAAAACTTCGTGTGTAATATTATAGCTCATTATGTCATATTATATAGTCATAATTATTCATTCAACTGTAGAAATTTAAATAAACACGGATTAATTTTGTGAAATATAGAATTTACAATATATATCAAGTTATTACCTTATGTGAATGGTGTTTGCCACTAGACCAAATAATATATCTCGATCTATGTTAACGTGCATCTTAACTATCTTCTTCTTACAACTTAGATGCACATTGAACATCTTTAAAACATCGACACCATCATGGACACGTGCAAACAATCCTTCTGTATATAGGACTTCATAAGGCAGCTTTATTAGGCTTGAATACAAAGTAATTCTACTTTGCACCTCAGCCACTAAATTACTAAAAGTTCCCTTGATGTTCATTAGAATCAAGTGATTGTTTCCTCTGAAGTTCATTATTGCAAAATACAGCTCTTCATCCATTACTGAAGTTTATAAAAAATAAAATAAGTGGGTCAATCAAATATTACCAGACAAACACAAGTTTAATATGCATTTTCTTATTGTGTATGATGTAATTCAACATTGATAGTCAATATGTAATTCTCTACATTTATACACAGTATTACTCAATATCCATTTCTAAATATTCGAAGATGAAGATTTTTTTATATTCTATAGAAATGAAAAATAAATGGATTTTATGTTTGTGTCAAATAAAGAAAACATAAAACTTTTAACTTTTCATAGCACTTTTTAAAGAAAGTATATCATTTTTTCTGATGCTCACTATATAGGATATATTCAACAAAATCAAAGTTTTTTCATGAAAAAATAGTTTTCTCGACAAAAGCAAGGTTTTCTCATTAAAAAATGGGTCTTTTCAACCAATCAATATATGAAGATGGGATCTCAATCACTTTATAGTTACATTCAGAAGTCTTGACCTTTTACTGCATGGAACGAACATAGGAGATCTCAACCACCAACCTGATGTAGAATCAATGTCTTCTATGAGGAGAAATATTACTAGAAGAGAGAGATTTCTCAAGGAGAGAGGGGAAATTAATTGTGGGTGGGTAAATTAAAGATGGGTACCAAATTGGGGTTTGGTGGAGTAGGAAAGCAACACGCCTAATTCTCTCACCATCATTGCCATTAATATGATGTCCTTTGAGCGATCTTCAGAAAAAGAGAAAAAGGGCAGTGTCAGTTTTTTTAGGAAAAATACTGTATAAAGATAGAGAGGTATTATGGATATTGGGTTTAAAACTAAGACACATGGTTACATTAGGTAAAATCGGTGTTCGCAAAAGTGGGTGGGTTTTTAAATAAGTGAGGGTAAAATTTTGGGTTAAAAGAGAAAAACCCCTTATGATAATTTCAGTTCATAATAGCTTTTAAATAGTTTTCAAGGTTTAAGGAGGATTTTCTCTAATTTATACAAACTGTGTGGATTTGTTAATTTTCCTAAAAGTGTTGACTAGGGTTAATTATTTGGAAATCCTCAAATAAAATGTTTGAGAAAAGTAGTTTTTTAAGCAGAATTTTAAGGACTAAAATAAATACGTAGTATTCTTTCTTCTCACTCCTCTTGAAATAGGAATAAATAAAATAGATATTTTAACTCATGAAAAATCTCATCTCATGCTTGTATCATATTAATTTTAATTGGACGGAATGGTTTCCTTTTTATTTAAAATTTGTATATTACTATAACATCATGATCTCATTCATGGCCCAAAACGAGTACATTCTCTCTATAGTTCTTTCTTTTTTTGGAGTTAATTCTCTATAAAGCATCTTAGCTACTTTTTTTAATAGTTGCAAGACAAATATTGCAGCACAATAGAGACCTCAAGTTGCTATCATCCCCTTTTCGATCGACCAAAGTTACAAGCTTATCTCATGCTAAGGACGTATAGTGTGTGGTGATGTACTAGTCGATCACATAGTCAATATGTATCCGTGTTTAGATGAGTTTGTTGAGGATTGATGAGAGACCACTTTCTTTCCTGACTTTATGTTCGATTCTTGAGTTGGGAATCTAAAAAATCTGCACGTGTAGAAAATCATGAGACGACGAGGTTTGGTTCCCCGTTGTATCTCCGACGATCAAGTTAGCTAATGAACTTGAGTGGGGTAAATAAGAACGGTGAGAGTTCTTGTGTGTGTAGTATGATTTACAATTTTAGAAAATTTGGATCAGAATTCGAAAATTAGGATCTGGGGGTCAGATCTTCCATCCCCCGGCCAAGACAGAATAGTACATGTATTTATACCTAGGGTATAAGAGTAGATTGGTTACTTCGACCGAGCACTGAAAGAAGTGTGGGCTGGCGGTTGCGTCAGCACTTGCTTTATAGGCATCGGCTGGTGATTGGGGGAAGGATCACTTCAGCATTAAACGAGAAGTGAGTAGTGGCATGGCGGTGCCTCACGTGGTCCGATGAGTCATGAAGGCTATCGAGACTAGGGGCATGATGCGTCTGACATGCATTAAATGCGATGTTGACACGTTGTCAGTAAGGATAGGCTCGAGGAAGAGGTTATCCTTTAGTTTTGCCGAGAAGTAACGATTTTCGAGTCGTCTGGCAAACGGTCGAGTGGACTCATGGTGAATCGTCTTTGACAAACGGGGGCGACAAGTATCGCCTTTCGAGTTGACATGAAGGGTTGTCGACTCGATAAGTCGGCTGGATTGTCATCCCTACTAGTCTCTGGCCGCCAAGTTGATTGAGGCATAGCATACAGAAGTACACTTGTCCGTTGCTTGGCATTGAGTTGCACTCGAGCGAATGGGAACACCATAACAATATGCATCATTTAAATAATTTTATTCTTTGTTGTCCTTAAAAAGATAAGGCATACATCTGCACTACTACAATTCAAATCATGAACGCATCTTGACTACATCTGACGATTTTGAAACGTCTTCTATCAACGATACACAAATCGAAAATCATAGAGGAACACGATGGTTATATCAATTTCTTTAGTCTCTCAGACACCTTTGAAGCCTCAAAATCATTTATAGATGAAACAACCTGCAACCATGCATAAACGCAATATAGTTTTCATCAATATACTATGATTACTCCCAAGATTATTTATAAAAAAAAAACAACGACATAATGAAAAGTTAGTAATCCTTTTCACTCTAGCCGATAAATAAATATTTTTTCATATCAAAATGAAAGGGAAGAAAACCAAAATACCTGCGAGTGTATGGTGTAGAAAATTTTGTCCCTCACAACCGAGAAGCCAGCGTTGAGAACGTCAATACCCTCTTCTTCTAAAACTTTGATCGTCTCGTGGAACACGAAGCTCGTTTTTAGACTAGTGATGAGGACCACCTCGACGATCGAGTCTTGGTGCCTCACCTCGACCACGGGCAGCCCGAGCTCACCGGCCATGCCACCGTCCGATTCCTTGTCGCTCGCTTCGCCCGTGACGCTATTCTTCCTCTGTTTCAGTCTTTCGATTCGTTCACTCAATTTTTTTATGTAATCAATAGCATGGTCTAGATGATCATACTGCGATAACGCGTCCTGAAATGGGAACGAAGTTAGTTTAATAATTGTGACCTTAAATTGAAGATACGATACCTTTTTTTTAATAAATAAAGCACGATCTCATTTTTTTTCGTTATTTTACAATTTCAATGTGGGGGGTGTTTTGCGCTCCGATCGTTATAGTCCTCTACTTTGAAGTGATCAGAAAGCTTCACAAAATTGCGTACCAAAGCATTAACTCATTGTTAATCAACACGTGCTTGTTAAATAATTCAGGAGTCAGGAGTTCAAACAACCAAAGTAGTTAGTCATTTAGGGAAAAAGAGGTATTTTCACGTGATTCAGATCCTCTCCGTTAAAAAAAATAGTGGAGGGACCACTACATAATCACATCCATTGATTATCTAGTTGCTGGTTGTGATTTTTTCTTTTAGTGTAAATTAGGAATGAGTGCAGTATACGGGGGTATGGTAAGTGTTAGATTTAGATTGTATCATAACCGTCTACTAAATAATCAACGATTGAGATTAAAAGTAGTGGTCTCTCCACTACTTTTTTGTAGTGGAGAGGGTCCAAATCCATTTTCACGTCCCTCTGGTGTTTGTTTAGACGAAACTAAACCTAGCTTGAAAGCGCACCACTAAATCTTCCACATAAAGATTTAATGCATGATTCACTTCCTCCTCGTTAAGCCTTCTCAGTCACCACTTTGGCTTGAAACAAGCTATAAGCACTAATTAATTATTGGACAAAAGTAAACAAGACTTATTAAATGTGCGAATTTTGATTCTAGCATGTAGTAGGGGCCCATCAGTAGCACTCATTATACACTCTTAATCAATTCATTAGCAAAGTTAATTGTAATTAATGGTATTAGAGGGTAGTTTATTAGTAGTATTATGAATATCATACCTTTGAGAAGTTGTAGTTATGAGCATGTTTAGGGATGACAGAGGAGAGCTTGAAGCACAAGCTCTTCATTTGTATCCTCCTGTTCTTCTCCACTGTTTTCCTATCAATCTTCACCTTCATCTTCTTTTTTAGAGAGAGAAAGAGAGAGGGAGCAGAGAGAGAGAGAGAGAGAGCGCGCGCGTGTGTGTTTGCGGCGATTAACGCAAGATGGCGAGCTGGCTTTTATATATTTATACGAGGAGAGAAAGAGGAAGCACCCGAGAAGTGCGTAGCTGTCGCGTGGGTCCCACCGTTGAGTTTTAAAATGTGGGAGCCAGTTCCCACGTGGGTGAAAGGGACAGAGAGCCTGCTCCAGGATATAAGGGCATAATTGCATTTGAGTTATTTACCCTATAGTTTCCCTTTTACTTTTGCACTTACATTACATACCTTCACTTGTTTTTTTGGGAATACTTATACGCTAAAAAGTTTTAAGTTATGCATTTTAATATTCTTAATCATACAAATATGAGGGTTTACTTCTGAAAATGTTCATGTGACACTCACTTGCTAATTTTAGAACATTTTAACTCTTGATACGTGCTAAATTTATTGTTAAAACTATCAAACCTATTTTTTTAAAATAGAACTAAGGTAATGTTTGAAATAGAATTACGGTAGTTTTAATATTGAATTTGTAAATAGTTCTAAAACTAGCATCTAAGTGTCTCATGAGAATTTTTAAGAGAAATTTTTAATGTTAACATAACTGAGGGTATTAAAGTGCAAATTATAAACATTTTTACATCTATAAGTGCTTCCAAAAAAATATGAGGGCATATAAGTACAAAGTAGGAGAAACTACATAGTATTTAGTTGCAATTAAGCAATAATAGGGGGACGTGGATTGTGGGCCCCAATGCTCGAAGGTTCTCAGAAATTCGAAGAAAAAATTAAAAATACTGATGAATGCACATTTGCAATAATTTATTAGTTTTCTTATTGTAATATTATTTGGGATGTTAACGAGTACTTGCATGACGATGTAGTTATAAGAGTCCAAAGGCTCCGAACCCATGTAATTGAACTCTTCCTACCTTTATAGCTTTATCTTGATTTTAAATATGTTTTAGATGGTGTGACAACATCCGCCCCCCACACACTAATGAGCATCACATCTGATATGGAAGAAAATATTGGCAAAATATTACAAATTGATGAGTAATTTTAAAAAATAAAAAATAATTGAGAGTAGAGATTAAAAGATGACAGCTACAAACCAAATTTTTAGAGTTTGATGTATTAATCATATTCTTCCATTCAGTTAAATTATGAATCATCTCCTCTGTTTAATCAACTATTATCGTATCTTTCATATTGCTTTAAATCAAGATCTTTTTGGTCTATCTATGATCTCTTATGCCCCCATTAAAATATCAAAAAAAAAAGAAAAAAAAAGAAAAAAAGAGTAGATATATACATATTACACCAGGATATCTCATACTAGGACTTATGACATGAATCATATTTTTTCATAGATTTCTACGATGGTTGGTTAAATTAAGTTATTTTGAGTCTACATCTAGTTGTTATTTTGAGTCTACATCTATTTTGAGTCTAATCTGTTTCTTTTGCCCTATGGTATCATCTCATCAATTTGTCTAACCCATCAATTTGCCTAACCAGTACATCACTTCCATTGCAACAAGGGTTAACATGTCTCCGACGGGCACATGAATTTTAGTTACAATTATCAAGCACAAGCACGGCTCTATATTCAAATCTGATTAAATAATTAGGATCAAGTAGATGTTTAAATCTAGTTCAGAACACAGAAACATGACTCGCATTATCAGTTTTAAATCAATGCAATCAATATATAATATCAATATAGTTAGTAAACATCAGTTTAACAGTTAAAAACATTATTATAATTAACATGAAATAACTTAATTTAAGACACATGATTTAGCATTATTGACATTCTCTTTTCTTTTCATATGATTTTTCCATAGAAGTTCCAATAAAGAATTTGCCCCCCTTTATTTCACGCAGGAAGAAAAGCTAAATATAGCAAAATATTTGGATAATTTAATGCACCGATCCACTGATTTTTCTTATGAATCATCCACGATATAATTAGATTAGTCATTGTTATTTATTTCATTGTGATTGGCTAATCAGTCTCACAGATATTATGACTCTTAAAAAACACCTAAAGATGTTTTATTTATTAAAGTAATTGAAAAGAATCCAAAAAAGAAGTCACGCTTAGACCATGAGAACAAATACCTTGGAATAGAATCCCCTCAATTTTCTATTCCTTTTGAACTATAACAAAGCTACATGATTGATAATATAAAATCTTAGGAGATTACAAAAAACGATTCAAAGTGCATCATAAATAATAGGGTTAATTTCAAAAAACACCCCACGCAAAACAACAACAAGAAAAAAAAAACTTTGGGGTTTGTTGTACATAACCCTCCTAAACTTTGTTCATCTCACATAACCACCCTGAACTACGGGTTGTCTCACAAAACCTCCATGAACCTTATATTATCTCACATAACCCCCCTGAATGTAATGTGTAAATAACTAAAATATCTTCAAGTGAAAAAAAAACTTAAAATTTGTCACTTGTCACTTGCATGCAACATACTCCGTCCCCAAAATTTTGAGTTTTTTTTTTCTCTCAAGAAAATATTAGTTATATGCAAATTACAAGTAGGGGGCTAGGTGAGATAAATTAAAGTTTAGGAGAGTTTTGTGAGACACCTCATAGTTCAGGGGAATTAAGTAAGATAAATAAAGTTTAGGGAAGTCAAGTGCAACAACCCCAAACTTCAGGGGCGTTGTGTGATATTAACCCTAAATAATACCAAAATTAAACCGTGTCCTTTCATAACCAATACTGTGTTGACCCAAACGAGGAACAACACGTGCTAATTTGGTCATCAATAGGAATAATAATAATAGTAATAATAATAAATTTCTTCTTGATCGAATGCTTCAGAAGATATGAAATTATTAGATGTTTATTCTATTGTGAAGGTTCTACTTTCATGGAAACTTCAATCCAAGCCGCTCAATCTTCTTGGCTTCAAGCATTGAGACTATCAATTATGATTCATCAGTTGGAAATTTGGAATTCTTCAATCCATTCTAAAAAGGGGTTAGTTGCAAGATATGATCTAGTGTTAGGATTCAGTCACTTTTATGTCTAATTTTTTTATTCACACTTAAACACACTGATATCCCCAGCGACTCATATATCCATTGCTGTTTTATCTGTAATATACAAAGTGAACAGGAAGCCTCTTAGCATCACATGACAGATATAAACAAGAGGAGCACTAGAGGCACATCTTGGGGCACACTCCCAACCACATACCCTCACCTGCTACAGTACAGGGGGCCCCACCTGAGATTTTTTTAAAAAATCTCAGGTGGGGCCCCCTGTACTGTAGCAGGTGAGGGTATGTGGTTGGGAGTGTGCCCCAAGATGTGCCTCTAGTGTTTTTTTATAAACAACGGAGAAATAATTCTGTAATGACAAAGATTATGGTTAACCCTGTACAATACAAGAGGATATAAGTCTAGAACTACAATTAATCCTTCTAAGGTAGTGAATGGGATCTTATTAAAGCAGATCCGATGGTAGCTTTGACAAACATACGATTTCCCAAGACATGTCTATAGAGATAATTAATATGAGATGACAATTTAATTTGCTGAATGAGCTATAAAGAGCAGAATAACAGTAAACTCTATACCACAAGTCACATCAAAGTATTTCTATCTTTTTTTCCTTTTTTTTTGATAACTTGACCCAGAATCGAACCGAAGATCGTTGGAGCCATATTGGAAGCCCCCGTGGATGGTAAACTATTTCTATATTGATAGCTCATTTAACATAAGGATAACTGAAATCCCTCAACATTACAAATTCTACTGGACAAACAGCTCCTAAGAAGAGATTATAATACTTGATTTATCAGTTGTTTTTGTTGGTGGTAAAAGACAACATCAGCTTTTCTCACCTCCTGATCCTACTGATTTTTTATTAGAGAGACTATGGTCCAGATGCTATTTATCATATATGTATCCGCTTACCACTCAAGCATACAAATATAGCTTCAGATATACATTGGTAAGAAATATTCATATTCATATTCGCTAAAATTAGATACAGATATGCATGCGGATACATATGCGGCTATACACACATACAGAACGGATATTAGAAAACTAGATAATACTTTAAGAAAAATATAATCCCTTTGATACAAGAGAGTTCATTCATGTTGGTTATATCTGAAAACCTAAGATTAGAAATTAACCTCAAACCCAATAATCTAATAATTAAAATTGTTGCAACAATATGACCAGAATATATTCGGATATTTCGGACACGAATACGGATATTTAACTACATAACCATATTCGTAACAATATTTGTTTGGTTATATATTTTAGTAACCATAACCATATCTTAAATAGGCATTATATAAATATTTTCTCGTATAAGGATATTTTTGTGCACTCCTACTATTGATGGTAAAAAGCCTTTTCAAATCCATCCTTTTGATCTTTGTATCTTACTACTTTAAATCAATATTTGACTTGATGCAATGGGGTTTTTTCACATGTATGCAAACTTGTAGTCATTTATTCACCAACAAGAACCTCCTATAACCTCTTTCACCCACAATCAACTGAGAATCTATAAAATCAAACATAAATAGCCTTATTTTCATTTACTCATCTCCATTTAATCATAGCCCGCAGGTTTCAAGTCTCATAAGTTAAGTCGTACATATACCAAGATTGACAGCCTTAAATTAACCCTCTGTCATGTGAACATCTATATGTATCCTCTATAGTTTCTTTGCATGGTCTAGAATCTAGATAGACAAAAGACCACCCTATCAAGCCGAAAGAATAACGCGACACATTTTTGTACCTCTTGTCATTGAAACATTAAACCAACAAAAGTAAATCAATTCAGCATCCTGTAACACGTGTAAAATAGTGAAAATGATTTACTGTGGAAAAAGTGGGAAACAAGGAATTCACAGCATTTTGACAATGAAACATCGAAGAGTAACAAATAACCATAACACAACTAGTAAAATTTAACCTGCAATTTACCATTCCAATACACAAATTAGGAACCCACCATACAACCATAATATTAAAAATTCATACTGAAGGCAATACAAATTCAGCAGATCACAAGTTTTAAGAAAATTACAACTTCGGAAAGAGTCCAATTCCGCCATTGATACCCTGGGATATTCTCTTTAAAGGTAATTCATATTGAAGGCATACAAATTCAGCAGATAAAAAATTTAAGAAAATTACAGCTTTGGAAAGAGTCAAATTCCGCCGTTGATACCCTGGGATTTTCTCTTTAAAGTTCAAAAGATATTATTTGAGGTAAGGATGAGAGGAGGTGATACCGGCTGATACCAGGACATGCTCCTTTGTGAAGTTCATCGGCCTTGTTATAGTGGCGTCGCGAATCCTACAAAAGTAATCGAAATATGGATGCAAAATATTAGCATTCAGTCTATAGTTCAAGGGAGGAAAAAACCAAGTTTATCACTAAGAAATGTTACAATATCATGTTTTATGTAGACATCATAAAGAAATAAGAGGGAAAGAAGCACATTACAAGCCAAATACCATCAATTTCATGTTTAACTTCAGCATATCCATTGATTAGATTACTTTTCTGGATTAACCCCAAAAGAAAAAGAAAAAGAAAAAGAAAATCAATTCTTCGGAACAACAACAAACAAAAAACAAAAAGTTGGCCATTTTGATATTACCCCCAAAATGCTTGGAAATTGCCCCTGGGGGTTTTGTCAAATTTACCAAATTGAGGACATAAATTGTTGTTCACAAGTTTTCGTGAAATGGATCAAGAAGATGAAATTAAGGAATATCTAAATTGGTGCAAAATTGTTAGCCAGATTAACTACAGAAAAATGGGCCAGGGTTATAGAATCTTGCTGAGTATTTGACAGGTGATTTTTACCAAACTTTCTGATCTGTGCAAATTATACTCATGAAACTAAAGAATAACCTCCAATTTTTTTCTAGTACACAAAGCCAGCTAAAATGATACCCCTTTTCAAAGTGAGCCGCGTTAATCTCTAGGGCAGAAAATGAACCAAGAATAGCAGGGTTCCACATCCACATCGAGCCAAATGAAACACTGAGGACTATTTTGCAACTCCCTCTTAAATTAGGTTAGTGGAATAAACCTAGGCCAGAACCTACACCTTGTTTCAAACAAATGGGTCAGGATTTATTCTAGTTTTGTTAGTTCAAATTTTGGCCTTAAAGTGCAGGTGAAGCCTTGAAAATTACATCATCAATAACTATAAACTGGTTGCCTGCTTGCTCTGGCCTATAGTCCATTTAGAAGAATTGTGAGACACAGGACTTTGTGAGACACAGGGCCATCGATAACAGGAGATAGTATTGTGTATAGAACGAACCTTGGGAGTTTTAAAGCAGTGGATTGAGGAAGATTTGAGTTTTATTATTACTTGCTCACTCAAGGTAAGATTTTAACCAGCAGTTGGGAGTATGGAATCTTAAGCTCTATTCCAAGTAGTTGTTGGAGACTCAAATACAGCATGCTATGTTCCTTTCCAAGTGTGTTGTTTTGTTACTCTTATATAGCTGAAACAAGCTATAGGTGCAGTTTAGTCTCCTATTCTCTGGTAAGAAAGTAGATTAAGCAAATTTCTTCTTACAAACAAAATAATATTTTCTTTAATTATAGATAAGAAGTGTACAGTACATGTGTCAACTAGATCAGAAACAGGTCAATAAACCCTAACACGAACAAACCCAATGAAGTACTAACATGAAAACCAAAATNNCCCCCCCCCCCCCCCAAAAAAAAAAAAAAAAAAGAGACTAAAAACATAAAAAAGAAGCATTTGGGACCGAAAATAAAAAAAATTAGGGCAATGGAATTGACACAAATTAAGGGAAAGAATCAAATTAAACTACAAATACATACTAACTAGGGGGAAATTCACAACAAACTCTTGTAAAGAAGTATAAGGTTGAGGGGAAGAGAAAAACATGGATGAAAAGAGAGAAAGATTAACATTGTTGAAGAGAGAAAGGTGTAATTTCTTCACAGAGATCCGAAGATGATGAAGCCCGGCGGCGACCACTGGCACGGCGGCAACTTACAGCGTGGTGACAATTTTCGCCGTAGTGGAGATGGAGGCATGGTGGCAAGTCGTGATCGGATGTGGCGAAGGACTCTTGAGGAGTCGCCATAGCTCTATGGGAGAAAAAATAAATTGAAACGCTAAACTCAAAACACCTTTTGGTGTTTTGTGAAAAGCGTTTATTTTGGGATTTTTGGGTTGTGACATGCTTTAGCCCAAGATAAACGCCTTGGTAACCAAACAACTTCATTTGGTTTCTTTGGGAATAAAAAAGAGAAACAGGCCAAGCGCCACGATTCCCAAACACGCCCTAAAAAACACATTTTTGTTTGCACTTAATACAGCCGTGATCCCCTATGACAAGCATAAACATATCAACCTATATGATTATCTTTAAACAAGGATGTGATATGTTGCATGTGGCTATCTAATACTTTAACCGTACAATTCATATAATTATGGGTTTGCAGATTATTTCTAATAAAAAACCCAAGGTTTTCTATCAGCAATGTTTAGTTTTTTTTATGAACTACCTATGAATTTGGAAAGAAAAACTATATAGAAGGATATACCATCGGCCAAGCTTCATGAAGCAGAAAGTTAGACAAACAATTGCACAAACAAGGTAAACGTGAGAAGGCACGGGTCCATTCATAAGAGACTAGATTTAGCTCTTATTGAGGGTGTTATAACATAGTTATAATGTGAGTAAAAACTCACTTGAAATGAGATTATCTAAATATGAATAAAGGAGCAGTTATGAGCCTGGAACAGGGGTAGACCAAAACTGCATATGGATTCTACTTTCATAAAAGCGATGGCCATTACAAAAGCTGATTGATGTAAAAATTTATGTAGAAGATGCCAAACTGTCAGAATAAAGACTTTGTTGTTGATATTTAAATCACCTTTGTGGTTGGATAGAAAATGAACTAAAACAGACCGAAAGAAAAGTGTAAACGAAAGGAAAAATGAAAATAAAAGAAAGTGAAAATGTTACTTCTTTGTTTAGAGTGTAGGAACATCGAAAAGTATAAGATGAGCATGAATGATCCGAAAATGATCAAGCGTGAGGCAAAGAAGAGATTGAGGAATCCAAGTTCACAATGAGCTGGATGGCACCACAACAAACTGCAATCCACTCTCAAAATAAACAAATTTCCAGGTATCGGAGAGAGGTGGTAATCTCAACTTGAATACTTAAAAGTCTATACTAAACTTTTATTGCTATTAAAGGCAGAACTACTACAACTCATGAACTTCAGCAATCCAAGCAAACAACATGAGTTGCAATTGCAGTTCTATAATTGCTAGTTCTGCGAATAACAGATCTACACAGAATTACAAGAGGTTATTTTTATCAGACAACAAAAATCACAAATCGCAATAAATTTGATGGAAATTAATTGGAAAAAATTACCTTCAGAAAGCCAAGCCCAGCCCCCAGGCTTTGAAGAGAGCTTGGAGATGAGCAATGCTGAAGCAGTCACACTATGCAAAGGCATCAAAGATTGAACACATCCCAACTCCACAGGAATCCTATTAAATCCAGTATTGCACATACAACACATATTAACATCAAAACTACCAATAAAATTCAATAATCACGGGCAAAATTCTACATATGTCTTCAGAAGCTATAACCAACAAAACCCAGAACACGGGCATCTAAAAAATTAAAACTTTACCCCAAAAAAATCATTAAAATTACTAAAAAAATATGCAGAAACAAAAGAAGTTACGACACCTTGAGAAGCCCAATGGGAGCTTGCGAGGGGAGAGGCGAGCAGAGGTCAGAGATGGAGAGGAGAGAGGAGTGGGTCCCACGAGGGAGGGTTTCGGAGAAGATACAGAGGAGCGAAGTAGAATCCTCCTCAAACCCCCACCGCCATTGCTGCTGCTGATTTCATGCTAAAACCCTCTCCCTCACTTTCTTCGTCGTGGTTGGTTGTTTTGGGCTAAAACGTTTCACCTGGGCTGGGCTCCAACTGTTCTTTATCTGAATCTGGCCCAAACGGCTGCACTCAAGGCCCAAATTGACCACCCCTTAAAATACAAAATTGCATTATTTTAAATTTTTTTTATCAATCTACTTTATTTGTTGTCCCTGCAAATGATCTATGACGTTATACCGGAGCACAAATTCTATCGGAAGAATCCGCATATGGGAAGGCAAGATATATTCAACTTTAAAAGAGAGAGGTATATCATCGCCAGCGCTGCTCGTATCCACATAGTATTGCTACTGACTTTTGGCATAATAGGCTAATAGCACAACACGAACAAATAAAAGTGCTATCACTGCTGTACGCATGTCAATAGAATACAACGTTCATAGCAGCAAAACATGTCTTTTTGACATAAACAACAAAAAATGGGGTCCAATAGTTTTGTCAGAAGAATTCATTCCCTGATCAGTTTCTCAATTTCAGCTGCACTTACGAAAACAGGTGATATAAGGTTTCCTGACAGAGAACCAGCTTCACTTTCAGTAGAGATGCTGAACACAAATAGCATTAACTTATTTCAATACACAACATCAAACAAGGGAGATGGTCAATCCACAGCATCAATTCAAGCTGCCGCAGCCTCCAAGAGCTCCCTCTCTGCTCTCTCCCTGATCCTCCTCTCGAGCTCCGGCCTGAAATGCCTGATCAATCCCTGCACTGGCCAAGCTGCTGCATCACCCAACGCACAGATCGTGTGGCCTTCGATCTGCTTTGTGATCTCTTGAAGCATATCAATCTCTTCAAGTTTTGCGTTGCCCACCTTCAACCTCTCCATCATCATCCATAGCCATCCTGTCCCCTCCCTGCAAAGGGTTGAAATCGATCGAACAGTTGATATTCTATTCAGTAGTTCATTTAATGCAAGAACATTAACAGCAATAAAGCCTATATCCAAAAAAATTTGGAGTCAGCTACATGAATCATCTCCTGCACTAAGAAATCCTTGTCATATTTCTCTTGAGAGCTTCTAGCCAAGTTCTCCTAGGCCTAGCCTTTGTCCTCCTCCTTCATTAGTTATAATCTCATAATTTCTCCTAACTGATATTGTTAATAGTAAACAAGTGATTGGAACTATTCAGTTCATAAACCATCTACATATTTGATTCATTTTATTACCACCTATTCATTTATATTTTGTAATTTAGTCCTTGACCAAGAACTTTTGTGAAATATGATAAGATGTTGTCTTTGTATGCATAGTTATAGATGTCAAATTTGAAACCAGCCAGCTTTCTGTTTTCTAAGTTTACTATTAAAAGCAAGTGACACCGCTGCATTGGGACTGTTTCTCTAATCGTTGTAGGGAAGCATGTTTCTGTGGCTATTTGTTATTGATTTTTCTACATTGTATTAGTAAGATCCTTTGCACAAATGTGATTGCCTGCTAGTTTTATTACCCAGAAAATTACAATATATGAAAACATGTTTCTCTCTCTCTCATTTTTTAGCTTTTATATAGTGTGACATGTTTCTGTTACTCTATTAGTATTTCTCTGTATCACTACTGGTGCCCGTTACCAAACAATTACTGAAGAATAATTATCAAATAATATGGGAAAAAATTTGCGCAAATACATAAGAGGATTATTCACGAATAATTATCGAACACCAAAATATATAAATGAAATGAATCTGAATAAAGCTAAATGAACAAAATTTGAGCCCAAATATCTTACTAGTTACTACTCAATTCAATTTGGTTCATTTCCACCCTTACCTGCAAGGTGTGCACTGCCCGCAGCTCTCGTGCTTGTAGAAGTACGACAACCTTGCAATTGCATCCACAACATCAGTGGATTTGTCCATAACAATCACCGCTGCGGTTCCCAATCCGGACGTAACGGCCTTTAGGGCATCGTAGTCCATCAAGACATCATCACAAATGTGTTTCGGGAGGAGGGGAACCGAGGAACCTCCAGGTATAATTGCCAGCAAGTTATCCCACCCTCCTCTTACTCCACCGCAGTGTCTTTCTAGCAACTCTTTCAATGGAATGCTCATCTCTTCTTCCACAGTGCAAGGCTTGTTCACGTGTCCGGAAATGCAGAAGAGCTTTGTGCCAGAATTGTTCTTCCGACCAAAGCTTGCAAACCATTCGGGCCCACGCCTCAGAATCGTGGGAGATACTGCAACAGTTTCAACGTTGGTTACAGTGGTTGGGCAACCGTAGAGACCCGCATTGGCTGGGAATGGGGGCTTCAATCTTGGTTTCCCTTGTTTTCCTTCGAGACTCTCCAATAAAGCAGTCTCCTCCCCACAGATATAAGCACCAGCACCATAGTGGATATGAACATCAAAATCATACCCGGATCCACATGCATTCTTCCCTAAAAGCCCAGCTGCATATGCTTCTTTCCTTGCCTTCTCAAGGTTTAAACGTTCGTTTACATACTCTCCTCTGATGTAGATGTAAGCAGCGGTTGCCCTCATGCCAACACCAGCAATCAAACACCCCTCAAGAAGTTTATGGGGGTCATGGCGCATAATTTCTCTATCTTTGCAAGTACCGGGTTCACTCTCATCAGCATTCACAACAAGATACGAGGGGCGGCCATCGGATACCTTGGGCATGAACGACCACTTGAGACCAGAAGGGAAACCAGCTCCTCCACGTCCTCGGAGGCCAGATTTCTTCATTTCATTCACAATCCAATCGGTTCCCTTGAGCACAAGGTCCTTAGTCTTGTACCAGTCACCCCTCTTCATAGCACCTTTGAGGAATGGGTCGTGCAAGCCATAAAGGTTGGTGAATATGCGGTCCTCATCTTTGAGACCACCGAAGTGGGTTTTCTCTGGAGGTGGAGGTGGGGGAGGAGACTGAGGTGTGCTTGCTGTGGTTGCAGCTTGGGTGTTGAATGATCTAGTAGTAGAATCTAGAGTTGCTGTTGGAAGAGAATATAGGTTCTTGAGGAGACCCTGGAAAGAAATAAATTGAGTGTCAGAAATATTTTCAAACTTTGGATTAAATTTCGGCAGAGAGAAATCAAATGAATGAACCAAGCTATCTATTTTAAAAGAGTTAGTAAAAAGATGCACTGCTGCCAACACTATCTTGATGCTACAACAAGCTTGGAAATGCCCTTTAAGCAATCAAATAGAATTAGGAGATAAATCTTCAAGCAACGATCACATTTACTCCCATGTCCATCCAAAAATAAGAATAAGGTTCTGCAACTGTACAAATTATGAAATCCTTGGAATCTTCTTTCAAAACCAGAATGAATCTACAATTACATGGAACCCTCCACATTGTAATATTTCTCCAAACCAATAACAAAAGCAAGTCCCACGGACCCGGAATGCTTATTCTAGGACCTTCTTTGTCAATATTGATGCTTGATTATGAAAGAACCGATGAACCCATTCATGACGCATTTCTTTCCCAATTTCAGACAAGGAAATAGCAAAATTTATAATCAGAACATGGAGCTCCTTGAAGATATTAGGTAAAGCTTGGTGATTACAAAGGACAGAATTGAAAGCAGACACATGCATGACATATGCAAGTGTTTACAAGCTTGTGTGCTCGCATGTGTCTGTATATAAGTGTGAGGAGGACAAGAGGAGGTAGGGGCAGCTATAGCAGGACTTACAGTTACCTTAAGAATTTCTAAAGATCCAAAATTGACGAGAATAAAAGAAATATGACACGGTGAGAAAACATGAGCACTCACTAGTTCCTGTTAGGGAGTTCATGGACAAGGAATTTGATCAGGAAAATCAGACAGGAAGAAGCTATTAAGTAGTCAACAGACAAAAGGCAGAAAACAAAGTGTTTGCAACCCGGACAGTCTACTAAGTAATTAACTGACTAACAGAAGGCATGACATAAAATCGAACTTGCTCGTTGCTGCTATTAGGCCTGAACTTATAAACCCTCTATCAGTCTACCAAATTTTGCTAATCAAACAACAGCTTCAGTAAAAAAAAAGAGGGGGAAAAACTGTATAACTGGATAAATTCTCTGCATCTATACATTTTCAACATGTCATCCAGATCATGTACCACAACACCTGATGCAAAGACCTCAAAACTAAGGTTTTAACCTATTTATTCTGCTACATCACAGATCCTTAGAGAATGCAAGGTCTATCAAGCATCATCTCAGTCCCACCATTTCTCCTGCAACACAATTATCACATTTTTTATATCACATTAAACAAGACTTCTACTAGATCAATGATAACAAACATTAATGTTTGGTATGAGTCCTCTCTGAGTAACACCTTAACTAGGTCGTGTACATTTAAGGGCTTATGAAAAGCAACTCCAAGAAAAATCAACCATCCATATTAAATCATGAAGTGTGGCCCGTGGGAGAAGACCAGGCCAACTGAATGTTATCCTTGGATACTGTCAACACTTCACCAAAGTTGAACTTTCGATATGTCAACATGTGGATTTTTTGCCTCTTATTAGAAACTTCCTCTACAAGAACACACTTCGAAATGATGGATCAGTTTTGGAGTATATGTGAGTACGTCTAAAAATCCAGTCGTTAACACACAGAAAAAAGCTAATAACAAATACTTCTGAAATGTCATTTACACACAAAAACAAAATATAACCAAGCATGCATTTCGCTCCATGTACAGCAACATACGCTGGCCAGAACAGAAACGAGGACAGTGATTTTAGCTGGTGTTTAAGGGATCATCTATGTTTACAAAATACACTTTAGAAACAAAAAATATGCAATATGCCTAGCGTCAACTGATATCAGATGAGTCCTTTCTTCATTACATTTGTAACTTGTTCCTACAAAAAGTTACTCCTCCAGGTTCCCATATTAACTTTTCAAACCATTCTCAAAGTCTCAAAACCATATTAACTGTAGGATAAATGCTTCCAACTGTCTATTTTCAAGGACCTCAAATCATATTGAGGGGAGGATCTAAGTGTACACATAGCAGTGCACCCCTAGGGATTTGAAAATTGCATTCTTGAGTCTTGTAGACTTACACTTTGTCCCCCATGATTTAAATATATTCACACCCCAACCCTTAAAAACTTGTATCTCATTTGAATTTTAGCTCAAGTTAGAAAATTAGCCCATTTGTTAAGAATATGGCTTTACAATATTATATTTTAGGTTTTTAGGTAAATAGATACTTGTTGTCCACCCTCCCAAGATTGTTTTTATTTTATTTATTCACCACTGATCATATTATCATTCTGTCATATTAACATATGACTATAAGAGCAAGTCCAGCAAGCTCTGAAGGAGGCTCTCAAGGCTGACGTGGTCGTGGAAGTTGGCAGCCCCCCTCCAGCAAGCTCCTAACCGCTCCCAAGGCCGCTCTCAGTGCCTACGTGGCGGTGGAGAGCTTCAGAGCTCGGAAGCGCTCCACAAATTTGTGGAGCGCTTGGGAGCTCCCAACTGGGGTAAAATTTTACAACCCCCCCCACACACACACACACACAAAAAGCCCCCTACCAAATCAGGCCAATCTCCTGTTGCACCGCCGAATGCCGATCTATTCGCCACCGTCGAAGAAGAGGATTTGGGGTTGGGGAGCCAGACCTTGTGGTCGTCGTAGCCGAAGAGGAACGCGAGGCGAAGAGGAGGTTGTGGTCGTCGTAGCCGAAGGGTTTGGGGTTTGGGGCTGGAGATTGGGGAGCCAGACCTTGTGGCCGTCGTAGCCGAAGAGGAACGCGAGGCGAAGAGGAGGTTGTGGTCGTCATAGCCGAAGGGTTTGGGGTTTGGGGTTTGGGGTTGAAGGTTACGGGAGAGGATTTGGGTTTGGGGATTTAATTGGGTCTGTTGTTTTGATAAAATAATAGATATAATGAAGATAAGACGTTGAGTTGAATTGAGACGTTGAGTTGAATTGAGCCGTTAAAAATAAGACGTTGAGTGAAAAATTTAGCCGTTGAGATGAAAAAAACTGGCATGAACAGTAAAAAATCATCTATAAATTCTCAATTCACTACACAAAGATTTCCACACAACTCTCAATTCTCAATTCTCTCATAAAAAAACTCTATAGTTTCCTATCAAATTACAAATCTCATGGATCCCTCCCAAAACTTTTATTCACAACTCCTTACCGGTGAAGGATCGTCGTTCTATACAGAAGTCATAGAAGAAGGTCACCCCATCGAGTTCTCGCAATCGGCAACACAACAAGTGTCATCCCAAGAAACACCGACCACAGAAGAAGGCTTACACGCAGTCCGAAAATTGGACTGTCCACGAGGATAAGCTTCTTGTGTCTGCTTGGCTGAACACGAGCCAAGACGCCATCCAAAGTACGGGGCAACACAAAGATAAGTTTTGACACCGAGCTAACGACTACTTTATTCTATACTCCACCGATCCAACGAGCCGCACACCAAACCAAATGATGCATCGTTGGTCAACGATTCAATTGTCCGTCAACAAGTTTTGTGGGTGCGTTGCTCAAATTGAAGGAAGACAAAGATCTGGTACGGGAATTATTGACCAGGTAAATATTTAATTATGTTTGATAATGTTTGCTCAGATTCAATATGTTTAATTATGTTTGATTATTCTAAAATTAACTCTTGTGTAGACTGCAGAAGTAAAAGAATTATATCAATCTCTTTATGGTAAACCATTCGTGTTTGACCATTGCTGGGTTGAGTTGCGTCATCATCAAAAGTAGATCCAACAAATAAAAACTTACAATAAGATTCGATCACAGCCGAGAAGAACCACATACTCTGATTCCTCACCAAACAATTCCATGCCAGCGACCCCCATCGAGTTGAACACTGACTCGGATGATGTTATAGCAAGACCTGAAGGGAGGAAAGCGGCAAAGCTCAAGAGGAAACAAAATATGAAAAACTCTGAGTCCGCTAAGTCCATCATGGGAGAGGCTTTCGCGTGGATGAAGGAAACCACCAATCAAAAAATAGAGCTAAAACAGAAGAAACAAGATGACGATATCATGAAGATGGATCTCTCAACACTCAATTCAGTTCAACGACAATACTTTGAAATACGTCAGGCAGAGATATTGGAGAGGTGGATGTCTAAGGGTTCTTCCTAATTATCATATATTATCTTGTATTAGATTTATGATTGTACTCGCATCACATCCTAATTAGTTCTTCCTAATTATCTTGTATTAGATTTATGATTCTACTTGAAGTTAAAAATTTTGGCATTTAATGAAAACTACTTTATTGAAAAGAAAATTGGCGTAGTACAACTCGAACTTCTTTGCTGAAATTACATTAGACATAAAGAAACTTAATCCTCGTCGATGGATCCCTTGAGCTGCCACAGATGCTCGATCAAATCATTCTTTAGTGATTTGTGTGTTTGCGTGTTCCTGATTTGATGATGATTTTGGATGAACTCAGTTAGAGGTACCGTCCACACATGAGGAAGTTCAACGACTGGTCTCGAATCATTAAAGTCGAAGTTGTTGTCCAATTGACAATCCCGTTCATCTTCAACGATCATGTTATGCATTATGATGCAAGCTGTCATGATGTCTTTCAGCACACTAGGTTGCCAGAAACGTCTTGGTCCACGAACAATCGCAAATCGAGCTTGCAACACGCCAAAAGCTCGCTCAAGATCTTTTCTTGCGCTCTCTTGTTGTTGAGCAAAGTACTTATGTTTGTTTCCTCACGGTGCTAGAATAGTCTTCACTAATGTGGACCACTCTGGGTAAATCCCGTCGGCGAGATAGTATCTCATATTGTACTCGTGACCATTAACAGTATAGTTGCACGGTGAAGCTCTTCCCTACGCAAGTTGTGCGAAAACCGATGAACGATGTAGAACATTGAGGTCATTGTGAGACCCCGGCAGTCCAAAGAAGGCATGTCATATCCAAAGATCTTTACTAGCTACGGCCTCCAAAATAATTGTAGGTTCATGAAAATGTCCAGTATACATACATTGCCAGAAGGTTGGATAGTTCTTCCATATCCAGTGCATGCAGTCGATGCTCCCAAGCATACCAGGAAAACCTCGTTGTGAACCTTCCTCGAGCAAGTGTGCAACGTCTTCATTAGTCGGTGAACGAAGGTATTCCTCCCCAAAGATGTTGATAATCGATCGAACGAACCTCTTCACGCTCTCAAGTGACGTACTTTTACCGATCCGAACGTAGTCGTCAACGGCGTTAGCGGATGCTCCATATGCGAGCATCCGCATAGCTGCAGTAATCTTTTGAAGGCTAGATAGTCCCAACTGTCCAGCATCATTCCTCTTTTGGACGAAGTACTTGTCATGTTCGACGACAACGTCGTGGATTCGAAGGAATAACGAACGCGTCATTCTGAATCTTTGACGAAAATAATGAAGAGGATATGTTGGTGCGTCAGCAAAATAATCTTGAAACAACCGATTATGGCCTTCCAGTCGGTATCGATGGAGCACGATACATCTTTTGTGTTGAACTGAAGTTGAACCTTTCTCTTGTTCTTCTTCCTCGACGACAGCAGCTCCCATAAAAAAGGTCTTCATCATTTCATCATCGCTAGAGCTAGATGAGCTAGACATTTTGTTCTGGGAGACGATGGGTTGAGGTGAGAAGGCATCGAATTTTATAGGAATCAGTCGGTTGACGGTCAAAGTTTGTGATACCTCAAACTTCGTGCCCAACCTCGAAGACCGCGAGCTACCTCGAAGACCGTGAGCGTTCCCTCAAATTCCGTAGATTACCTCGAAGATCGTGAGCGTTCCCTCGAAGACCGTAGATTACTTCGAAGACCGCAGTAATCTTTTCGAAGACCGTGTGCGCTCCCTCGAAGGCCGTATCCAACGGTTAGAAAGTTAATAAAAGAGGTTTAAATATAATTGAAATTAATGGGTAAAAAAATTAAAATAGAAGAGGGGTTTTTATGATATTGTTGGAGCTCCTAACTAGGAGCTTGTTGGAGCTCCATAAAATAAGGAGATGCTCCCAAGACTTATTTTTATAATTTTTTATACTAAAATGCTTGAGAGCTCTTGAGAGCTTGCTGACTAGGACTCCCAACTGGGAGCTTGCTGGACTTGCTCTAAGAATAAACACATTTTTGTTATGCACAACTCTACCATCGGAATTAGGCCCTCACTAGTCAAAGCTCCACTGCTGTAGCCCATCAGTGTACGTGCTTCCCCTTCATCCTTCTATAGTTCACTACATATTCGCTTATCCTGCTTTAGTTTGACATGTATCTACCTAGAATTATCATGCTTCTGAGACATGCATATGCATGGACTATCTGATGTGCATAGATTATAAACAAATGTAACAAGTAGAACTACTAGATCAGTTTGAATTGCAAATAAGAACAAATTTAAAGAAACAGCATTTACATAGAATGAAAAATTTATGTTGGCCAAGATATCATCAGGGTTCCACAAAGAATAAGAAAGGTGAGTTGCATGAAAAAATAATCAAGTTTAGCGTTTTGTTTGTCTACCACCTAGAACTATTTCCATTACTGGAAAAATACCACAAACTTTAAAATCTACTGAAAAATATCACATACTATCAAAAAATTATCCTAACTATGTTCAAGGGATAGAACTAAACTAAAGAGGGTAACTAGAAAAGCACAAAGTATCCAGCTCAAAAGCACAAAGTAATATTAGCACGAAACATATGATCTACTAAGTAATATTTTTAGAGTATATTAGCACGAAACATATGATCTACTACTGAACTCACACTCCAAAATCTTAAAACTCTCAGTCAGCGAACTAGAAAAGCACAAAGTATCCAACTAAGTAAACAAATTTCTTCTCAAAGATCAAAACTTCCCCCTCTTCAAGCTCAAAAGCAACCATCTCCAAACAAAAATCTATAATAATAATAATACTAAATCTATTAAAAAATCCTAATTACGGAATCCCCAATCTCTCCGATCCCACCGATTCATACTTATCAGATCCCAAAATCAACAACTCGAAGCTACTATTGACAAGATTTAAACGTATCCAAATCACTAAAAAGCCACAAAAAAAAGAGCAGCAATTCGAGAGTCTAAACTTGAAATTGGGACCAGACCTTTGAGTTAGGGCACAGGAGATTGCAGGCTTTGCGCCTCGCCAAGCTGGCCATTGCCATCGCCTAGGGTTTCTCTCTCCTCAATTTGGGGGAAGAAGAGGACGATGTGTTTGAGAATGGAGAAGAGTGATCTTTAATGGACTTTTTCGCATATAATTTCTACTTCTGTTTAATTGGGCTTTGATTGATTTCATGGCCCATTAATGATCCACGTCACGGATAACTGGTCCACGAAAACGCCCACTGGGTTGTTTTAGGAAGTCCAAATAGTTGAAGGGCTAAATAATACTTTAACGTCTTAGACCATCTCCAGCAAGAGGTGAAATTTCACCTCATTCTCTCCTGCCACATCACTTTATTTAATTCAATAATCTTCATTTCCCTATCAACTCTACAACAGGAGATTTTTCAGAAAGTTTTTACTTTATTTGGGACCCACCATAAACCACATCACTTCAACATATACCCCACCATATTTATTCATTTTTTTTCCTATTTCATTTATATTACTATTTTATTATTATTATTATTAATATAACTCATATATTTATAATTATAATTTATTAATAAATAATAAATAATTGGGCTTCATCCCCGTATTTTGAGTATTTTCGGGGTGTTGTATATTTGGATGTTGTGGTTGAGGGAGGGTATTTTGAGGTTGGTTAGGAAAGTTGTAGTTGTAGGAAAAATTAGGATAGTTTTGTGAAGGATCCATGAAGAAACTAGCTTCAAATTGTAGAAAGAAGAAGAATAGGGTGTAGAAACTCAGATTTTTTTTGGTGTCCAAATGACACAAAGTTAATCTCTATTTATAGAGTTTGAAAAATGAAAATTAATGGTATAAAAATTATAAATTAATTCATTGTATTTATCTCAAAAAATATCAATTAAAAATAAGGAGGAAAACAAAAATTGCCGCCCAATCAGATTTCACCACGCGGTAGCTGGCAGGCATGCGCCTGCAGCCTCCATGCACACGTCCACGTGCCCGTTTCTGATTGGGCGGCTTCTATTTAATTTTTTTAATAAACCTATCATGCATTTAATCAGGTGGAGCCCACCAGGTCAGAAATACCCAGGGTGAATTTTTCACCCCTTGGCCTTGTCTTTTTGATTCACCTTTTCAAAAAACTCCTGCTGCAACCAAATATCTCTTCAAATAACCCCTGCTGCATATGGTCTTACACTTTCACTCAGTTTGCACCTGTACGCCTGTACGTTGTTTTTCACAGCATTTATTTACTCTAAAAAGTTGGAGGCTCGCCAAAAATAAAAAATAAAAAGGTTTGAAAGAAATCTCTCTCTTTCTCTCAAGTTTGAAGCGTATTTTTATTCTTTCCAATTGACAATTGTGCAAAAGTTTTCATTTACAAAAGGTTTCACTTGTATAATGAATATTGAGATACGAAATGTTTTTCCCTCATTTCTCAATTTTGTTGTTTAATAAGTTCTGGACTGATGCGATCTTTATTGTTAAATTAGTTATATAATTATATATATTAGATAAAAAAAGTAAGTATTATAGATGACTAAGGGGGTGTTAGTCAATTAGGACATTTTCATGCAAAATGGGATAATTGTTAAAGTAGAATAATTTTTTGCTAGTGGGATATTTTAGTGGGATAAATATGAACAATTTTGTGGAAGCGGGATATTTTGATAAAATAACGTGGGATAAATTTTTATAATCATGAAATATATATTTATGCATTTTGAAGATATAAATACTATTTATGTATTTTAAACTTACTATTATTGATTGATAATTGCTTACAATAATGTTCTTTACTATTAAATAAATTTTGGTTAGACTATAAGATATTGACAATTATTATTATAATGATGGTCTAATGATGGTGATAACCATAATAGGAAAGAAGTAAAGAAAAAAAAAAGAAATATAAAAAATAAAAAATAACAAAAAAATATGAGTTCCAGTTTTTTACCACCTAGTTCCAAGCTAAAACTTGGAATAATTTGAGAGACTAGAACTCTCATTTTTGTATAGAAAAATAAAAAAAGTGGGATAATTTTGTATCATTATCCCAATTCTAGTTTTGTTAGAGTTCTACTTGACTAACACTATAAAATTTTGTTCTTGTTTTAGTTCTATGTGACTAACACCTTAAAAATTTATCCAACAGATTATCCCAGTTTCAATTTTAAGTTCTAGGTGACTACCCCCCCCCCCCCAAGGAGACGAGATCTAATCTAACGGCATGATCTAATTATGGTGATGATCATAGTAGGAAAGATGTAAAGAAAAAAAGAAATATAAAAATAATAAATAATAAAATACATAGGAGTTCTAGTTTTTTTACCATCTAGTTCCAAGCTAAAACTTAGGATAATTTGAGAGACTAGAACTCCCATTTTTCTATAGAAAAATTAAAAAAATGGGATAATTTTGTACAATTATAATTTTGTTAGAGTTCTAGTTGACTAACACAGTAAAAATTTATTCTAATTTTAATTCTAATTGACTAACACTGTGAAATTTTATCCCACAAATTATCCTAGTTCCACTTTTGAGTTCTATTTGTCTAATCCCCTTTAGGGGGGGTTAGTCACCTATAACTTAAAATTAGAACTGGGATAATCTGTGGGATAAAATTTTAAGGTATTAGTCACATAGAACTAAACCTAGAACAAAATTTTAAGGTGTTAGTCACATAGAACTAAAACTAGAATAAAATTTTACAGTGTTAGTCAAGCAGAACTTTAACAAAACTAGAATTAGGATAATTGTATAAAATTATCCCACTTTTTTTATTTTTCTATACAAAAATAATAGTTCTACTCTCTCAAATTATTCCAAGTTTTTGCTTGGAACTATGTGGTAAAAAACTAGAACTCGTATTTATTTTATTATTTTTTATTTTTTTCTTTACTTATTTCCTATTATGGTTATCACCATCATTAGACCATCATCATTCATCATAATAATTGTCAATATCTTATAGTCTAACCAAAAGTTATTTAATAGTAACGAACATTCTTGTAAGCAATTATCAATTAATAATAGTAAGTTTAAAATACATAAATAGTATTTATATCTTCAAAATGCATAAATATATACTTCATGATTATAAAAATTTATCCCACGTTATTTTATCAAAATATCATGCTTCACAAAATTGTTCCTAGTTATCCCATTAAAATATCCCACTAGCGAAATATTATTCCACTTTAACAATTATCCCATTTTGCATGAAAATGTCCCAATTGACTAACACCCCCTTAGGAACTCCATAGAGTTCAAAGGACGTTCTTTATACCTCTTAAAAGTTGAAAACTGCTGAGGTTAATAGTGTTACCCTTTTGGTAACACAAGAGTACTAGATATTGGCTGTTCTTGATAAATGAATTATTTACAAAGGAGCCCAAAACAACTCAAAACACTAATTACCGTCTGAGTACTCTGCACAAAATCTTCTAGAACGACCCCCGAAATGCTACAAAATTGATTTGACCTAGTTAGCCATGTTCATTCATATCCCAACCTGAAACCTGAATTGATCACACTTCATAAGCATTTCCATTTAAACAAACAAAAAAATGTTAGCCATCATCTCCGGCTGTTAAAGTCTTCATCTTATGGCACCCACCGGCCTACGGCTACAGTGCCCACCGCCTA